CTGTCCTACAAGCTTGTTGTTGGAAAAAGGTCTGGGGGAAGGCCAATACTGAGGCATGACATGAGCCCCCTCCTAGATTGGATTGACATGGCTTCCTCCCATCAGTTGACCTTTGGGAGTATGGTTTTCTTATCCTTTTGTGACATTTCTGGTCAGAGAAGGATATCATTTTTTTTAGAAGTGCATGTTGCATAGACAATAGATACCCCACCTGGAGTGGTGCTAGGGGATATAACAACCTCTTCCCTACCACACTATATTATTATACAGGACTTTTATAGCACCAACAGTTTGCTCAGCACTTTACATTATGGGCAAAAAACAGCTACAGCACAATTTTCTAATTCTGGGAGGATATCCATAGACATGCCCCCAGCAGCACCAGTGATTACTGTGTCCTACAGCCAATCATGTGATTGGCTGTTTACCCTATCATAGCAGCCTTTTACCATGTGATCAGCTGTGTCCAATGACAGCAGATCACCAGGTAAATACAGTTGCAGGTTAGCAGCTGCACTTTCCTCACAGCATGAGGAAAGTACTACTGATAACCAGAAACTGTCAGAAGTGATCAGTGCCAGTCCTCAGAGCCACCCCATCAACACACATCAGTGAAGGAAAAAAAAAATTACTTGTTTGCAAAATTTTATAATAGAAACAAAGAAATTTTTTTTTAATTTTGCTCTGGTTTATAGCACAAAAAAGCCAGTGGCAATTAAATACCACCAAAAGAAATAGCTATTTGTGTGAAAAAAAATTATAAAAATTTCATATGGGTATGATGTTGCATGACTGCACAATTAAAGTGCAACAGCACTGAAAATTGGCCTGGGCAGGAGGCGGTGTAAGTGCCACAGTCAACATATTTAAAAAAAAAAAGTAGCATGCAGGCCCTGATGGTGCATGTGAGCTCGCTTGTGAAGTCAATAAAGGTTTATTTAAAAAAAAATTTGTAAACTGCACACAACATTGAGGGACCATTCTACAGCCCCACTCTTACACTTATTGATTGACACAGCTATTTTTGAGCATAGTAAGTAGATGCCCTTTTCCCTCCCTTGACCTGATGTGCAGCACAGGTTCTCCACAGGGTGGTTGGCCTTGGAGGGGACCATCCCAGGGAGTACCTGTGACCCACACCAGGTCCAGGGAGGGAAGGCACAGAATCTAACCATTGCCAAGAAGAGAGCTGTGTGTCAATGAACTTAGACATGGATTTTAGAGATCGTAACAAAAATAGTTTTTCTGTTCACCCACAGGAATGCCAATTTGATTAATTGGTTCAACTGGCAATCCTAGAATCTTGCAGGGTTACTCATATGGCCCGCCTGACTTTTATATTCCTCTTGGGTCTGGTCACTTCTTGGGATGCTAGTGCTACCCCATAGCAGATTTGCAATGCAATTTAACTACATGGTCAACCGTAATGTATACGTGTTGCAACTCCACACCCAAATGTGTGCATTCTAGCCCTAGGGTACAGAGCTAAACTCCCTTTTGGCTGTTCCAAAGGAAGCTGGCAAGAATAAAAGGCGGCTGCTGCCCTCTTCCTCAAATTCTAGTTACCTGGTTGTCACCCAGTTGCTTCAGTACTTTGGTTCACTTTAAACATGAAGGTCTTCGTCTACATGGGTTACATTCCAGGCTTTTTTTTGGTCAGTGAGTCAAAGAATAGGCTTCGCCTAACAGCCAGGCCTAGCATTTTCAGGTGGTGGCCAGTAATCCCAATCCTCATGTTTGCAGTTGTACACATGCAGAAGAGCAAGTCAAGTCATTTACTTAAGGCTAGGGTCACAGATGTGGTACAATTTTCCTGCTGGTTCCAGTGTGATTTTGCTGGTTTTTCAGTCACTCACTCCTGACACATTAGGGATGGGAGATTAAAAACAAAGCAAAGACTTGCAGAATATGTGCTGACATGTTCTTAGGACAGATGAGCAATTTCCATTCAAATCACACGGGACCCTTTTTAAAGTTGCATCAGAATCATACTGCATATGTGCCAACGGCCTCTATGGAAACTCCTTTTATTTCACTTGTCATGCTGTTCCATGCGTTCTGGAATCTCAGATCGCATCAGTGTGACCAGGGCTTAGTGTGAAAAAAAAAAAAAAAAAAGTTAATCAAAAAGTAAAAACAATTTTTAACTTGTACCCTATTCCTATGTGCAGAAAGGTTTTCATTATTCTTAAACCACATCCAACAGCCAGAGACTACCCATGAAGGAAACCAGACATAACATTTTATTCTCTGCACATTTATTAAAGAATGTAAGAATAGTTCATATAAACTTATGAATGCATAGAAATAAGTGAAGTTATTTTGTATGGAGACTGAACCAGAATGCAACATTCCAGGACAGAAGCAAAGATTGTGAAATGTCAGTCAAAACACAAGGTTAACTTTAAGTCTGCATTTCCGCTAATGGCAATTAAATGTATATCAATAAATCGCACATCTACAGTTAGCAAAAGCTTGACTTAACTCTCCACCTCTCAGGGTTCAGTATGTACATCATGACTTGTGTACTCTAGGCTTGGGTAACCAAAAAAAAAAAAAAAAAAAAAAAAAAAAAAAAAAAAAGGCTTTTGAAAATTCAGTCCATGTCTGTACACAATAGCAAGCAACAATTGCCTATTTGATCCGGAAAAGCACTTTACGCTGGAGACGATGCTGAATTTCCCCTCTTCGCATCATCAGATGCAAAACCTTGTGGATTGCATGTTCTGGGTATTTCTGCAAAGATGAAATTAAAACATTTGATAGATTGAAACCAAAAGATGCAAAAACAAGTATTGTTTACCTACATTTTTCCATGTCTGCTCAGTACCATCCCGCTGACTGTATGCATATATGTGGCCTCTGGGCAGGTAGAAGCACGTGTGTGTTCACAGGCAACTGCTTTCTGTGCTGACAGCACGCAGCCACAGTAAGGCAAACAACAGCTCCTGACACATACTTGCGATTGGCAGCTTCTAATCACGTGACTGGCAAGCTCAGCAGTCCTTGATTGAAATGACTTCTTCCCAACATTTAGATTCTATTTAAGAGCTAGGGGGATAGCAGTGGGAAGCAGTTAAACATTTGTAGCCCAGCCTGTTCCCTGCCAGTTTATAAAACTTTGTACATGCACACTGGTGTTTGCAATGGGACACGCCTGTATTCACAGAACAGATTTGCTCTCCACTGCCCATAGCAGATCTAACTGCAAATTTTGGGAGCAGCCAAAAGGAAGCCAAGCATGAACTTAGGGTAGTCTGATCATCATTCACCAGTGTATGTGAACACGCTTATCCCTTCACCAACATACTAATTTTGGAATCTTAATTTAGAACAGAGCACACAAAGTATATAGTAAACAAAACACTTGAGCAAATTATAGGTTTATGTTAAGCCTGTACAAGTAGCATAGGGAAGCCTGGTCACAGGACAGCAAAAGCCTTGATTTTACACAAAACAAACAAAAAAAACCAAAGTAAAAATATCCAAACTTGATCTCCATCAGCAAAACTGCTTTCACTGCTTCTAGTAGTATTTAGAGATTACATTTTCACTGCTTTCAAAAGCCAAAACTTTACTTAAATGTAAGCAGTACGGCTTTTTTTTTGCAAAAGGGCAGTTCTATGTCCTTTTGACAATAAAGGCTTCTTCAGCAAATTCAGATTTTACCCCAGAGGTGCTCAACCTGTGGCCGGTGACCTCATGCTCAGGGATGGTGGGGTTGACAAGCCAGGACCCGCTACCACACTTCGGTCAGTTTGCCACAGCAATCCACCTGAACTCCTCCTTAACCACTCAGCATTCTGTGACATCACATGTCCCAGAAAGCTGCAGGACCATTTACAAAAAGGTCAGTACACCTGGCTGTGAAGTAAACAGGCTGGTGCCCAGGGCCTGAAGACCAGCGAAGAACCAATTTGGGTGAGGATGGTGCTGGACCCCTGGACAGGCAAGTGTTTTTGTTTTTTTGGTTTTTTAAAAGTCAGCAACTACCCCCCCACAGTATTTGTAGCTGCCGACTTAATTTTTTTCCACAAAAAGAAGGCCGAAGAACCAATAAGTCACCATCTAAAATGCTCAAAAACACTGAACCTAAACAAAAGGCCGAAAATTGATAGGTACCCGCTCCTACATCCAGTGAGATCGCCTAGGCGATTGGAAGTTGTCCTACCCTCCCCGTAGTCTTCTAGGACATGTGACAGGTCCCAGAAGACTACAGGGCCATTCAGGCAGCGCTACTCGTGCAGTGGGCACCCAGCAGTGAAGCCACAAGCTGTCATAACCGGGTGCCCACACTGAAGATGCTGGCGCCTGGAACATCAGACAGCTGGTGAAACGGGCTGCGGGAAGGACGCCACGGGATCGTGGGACAGGCAAGTGGCTGTTTTTTGTTTTTTAAAGTCAGCAGCTACAGTTTTTGTAGCAGACTTTTTTTCCCACAGTGTGACAAACTCCACTTTAAGTACTGCAGAATGTAGTCCCAGTTTAAAAACCCAAGTTCAGTTGCCAACATCTGCTACAGTGAAAGCCAAAGTATATAAAAATGTACACATTCTGCCTCAATAAGACAAAACCTTTAGATTTACAATTGCTGTTTTAAAGTCAAAAAAAAAAAAAACAAAAAAAAAAAAAACAATCATCTGTCCAAGCACAACTAATGTATAGCTTTCTGGGAGCAATTTTAAAGAAGCAATCCTCACCTGTTTCAGAAAATCCTGGATGATACTGTGCTCAGCCACCTGGGATCCAATGGCAAATCTTCTCTTCAGTTGCTTCTCTATGCGTGAAAGCATTTCTTGGTCCTCCTGGGTTGTGAATCCTTCCACACCTTCAAGAAAAACATTTTATAAACACATGGCAAGCAACAAGTTGACCGGCATATAAATGTTTTTTCGTGTTCTTACCCGACAGGCTTCCAGACATGGCAGCATCCAATGTGGACACCTGGAATAGCCGCAGTGCCTCTTCTACATCACTTTCTGCAGAAAAAGGCTGTAGTTTCATCTTACTGAGTGCTTCTGAAATCCGGACAATGGCTTCCAATTGTCTGGGGGGGAAAAAAAAAAAAAAAAGTGTTGAGTTTACAAAAATAGCTAAAAAAGCATATACTATTAGCAGATCCTTAAAAGCAGCATCCATTACTTGTGGTAAAAGTCACTTCTAATTCACTGCATGCACTGAAAACTACAATTTCAGATTCCTAAGACAACACTATATACTATAAAGTGGAGTTGCATCATTCCCTGGGATAACATGTGCAACTACTCTAGTAAAATAAAACCCATCTAACAACTGGAAATATTAAGGCGAGCAGTGCGCAAACTGGCAGAAAATTGGAAAGCCACTAGTAACATCAGACATTAAGGCTAGTCATGAAGAAGAATTTTATTTCGTGGTCCTGCAGCAACACCTAAATGGTGCAGTGGGCAAAGGCTGCAACATTGGAAACAGGTTATATGTTCCACCCTAAAAACAGGAACATGTAACTTGTTTCCAAAAGGTTAACTTATCCTTTAGTCCTCATGCACACTGGATGGTTTTGGCTTTTTTTCTACAGCCAGTAAACTCCCCAGCTCTTTAGCCTATGTGTGCATGCATACACGTCCTAGTGGGTTTCTAGAGTTTTTTTTTTCTTAGCTGTAAAAATGTTTTAATGCTGGTAAGTGCGGCAAAACGGTTTTTTTTTTTTTTTAGCAAAAAAAAAACTTTTGTAAAAATACGCTAAAAACCCAAAACACGGGAAAAAAAAAAAAAAAAAAACGCAGCTAAAAGCGAATGCAAAAACACTAAACTCACTTTAACGTGACTTTACACAGCTAGCGCTATCAGAGCTATTAAAACACCCAGTGTACATGGAACCTAAAAAAGGTAAGATCTTTGCACCAAGAAAAAAAAAAAAGTCAGGACCTGTGGGACACAAGAACACCATGTGATTCCACCCAGTCACAAAGGTATTCCCATTTTCTTTGAAATCTGCTTGGACCCATTGACTGCTGTGCAGAAAGTTAAGCATACACAAAAAGGCAGCCCCCTAGGGGTAACAAGTAATATTCTAACCTAGGTGCAGTTATTCATGTCAGCTAAGCACACGACAGTTAAAAAGGAAAGAATTATTTTTTGTGCATTTCCCAGCCCAGTTGATGTACCCATCGACTGTATTCACACTTGAGCGTTTTGTAGCTTGAAGCTCGAAGCCCCAAAACAGCTCAATGGCGCTTGTTTGCGCAATCAGGTGTGAACAGGCACCATAGAGAACAATTGATTATTTTTTTAAGTTTGAGCGTTTTGGAAGTTTGAGTTTCAAGTTACAAAACACTGAAGTGTGAATGCAGCCTTAGAAATAGGAAATTAGTCACATGTCCTTGCTAAAACACACCAGATTGGTGTAACTACTGCTTTGTTTAGTTGCACAGCATTGTTACTCTGCATTAACTGAGTGCTCAGGACATCTGAAGCCTAAAGGATCTTTGACATGGTTTTACCTGACAGTAATAGGGATGCTGGATCTCTTCTCGCTCTCTCCCGCTCATGTTCGCGAGCACCGCTGCGCATTAGTACGTATCGATTTTTTAACTTATCAGCTGCTTCAACTGACATTCGTGGTCCGCACTTACTGGAGAGATACAAGCCATACATTGTCATTTTTTCACAAATGTCTGCAATTATAACCTGTCAGTTATTTTTTGTAAACCCTTTAAAACAGCAACAGAACTTCACACTGAAATAGAATCAACTGTTCATTACCAGCATCTAATACACAAGTAGACATGAACAGTTATAAAAGCAGACCATTTAGATGGAGTGGATGCTACGGTTCAAACATTAACGTATATCTGTGCCTGCATTTTACTTTTATTCATAAGCTGCAGGCTTTGGTATGGAGCCTGCAGTGGCCCTGGGAGAGTTCCCTGCATAATGCTGCAGAGCACATTCCATGATAGGAATACAGTCCAGTTACATGGACAGGTCACATGACCCGTCTCTTGTACTTTGATGCAAGTGAAGCCCTGTTCATTGTAATAGTTTATGCTGAGAGCCCATATGCAAAAGCACACTAATTTTTTTTTGCAGTTATATAGTGGAATGGCAGCAGTAAGGCCATATTGAGGTTTTATAAATGGGCCCTATAGTGAAAAGTAAGGAATTTGGCAAGACATACTTACGTTCTGCAATAAGCAATGTATTTCTTCAGTGTATTCAAATCCACCTCTCCATCGACAGCCTGTGTCTGTGTTCGTGCACTGAGATGGACATTCATTACATGCTTGGCCAGAGTCTGTAGGGAAAAAGCAAGAATTTAAACATTGGCACCTGAAGTGCCCACAGTCATCGCTAAGATTTGGTTTCAAGCAGTTGTGAGCTGGCAAAGCCAATGCTTCCAATAGTGACAAATCTATCTTATTTACCTCCCACCACATTTTTATTAGCCTGTCTAGGTGCTTGCAAAAAAAACCAAAAAAAAAACCAAACCACTCCATCAGCTACCAGTGCTTACAATGAAGATAAATGAATTAGAACAGTATTTATTTTTTAAACTGGACCTCAATTTAACCCTTCGCTGCCAATCCGGTGATTGCAGCCAATGGGATGGTGTCTAAAACTGACAGGCAGACTTCTGCCTGTCAGGTGGAAGCAGTCGAGCAGCTTCTTTCGGAGCAGATCGCTTTTTCTAAGAGGTACCTAATTCAACTTCCGCAATGCTCATCTAGGTAAAAGTTACATTGCCTTTGCCTGAAATGCCACAAAAGGAAAAAAATACCACTCAACGGCCACTAGAAAATTGATGGGTCAGGACATACATGGAAAAATTGAAATTTCACCCATATTTCATTAGAGGTTTGGGAAATTTGTGCAAATGCTAGGACATTTGCACAGCAATTTTTTCACAAATAGATTTCACAGAATATATTGAAATAAAAAAAACTGGCAACTTGTCTTACCATATCCCTCTGTTCATTATGTTCATCCTTCACAATGAAGATCATATCGAACCTTGAGAGAATGGTGGGCATGAAGTCAATGTTTTCTTCACCCTTTGTATCATCCCACCGGCCATATACTGAGTTAGCAGCAGCAAGTACTGAACAGCGAGAGTTCAGAGTGGTGGTGATGCCAGCTTTTGCTATGGAAATGGTCTGCTGCTCCATGGCTTCATGGATGGCAACCCTATCATCCTCCCGCATCTGAAAAGATGAACAGCAAATCAGATATTTTACAACATTAAGGACTACAAGTTGTGTATGAATATTGCTCCCGGTTACTTCTACTATAATAAAAGACAGCTAAACACAACACTGTCAAATTAACTATTTACAGTATCTCACAGAAATGAGTCCACCCCTCACATTTTATATCTTTTCATGTGACACTGAAGAAATGACACTTTGCTACAATGTGACGTAGTGAGTGTACAGCTTGTATAACAGTGTAAATTTGCTGTCCTCTCAAAACTCAACACACAGCCATTAATGTCTAAACCACTGGCAACAAAAGAGTACACCCCTAAATGAAAATGTCCAAATTGGGGCCCAATTTTCCCTCCCTGGTGTCATGTAATTCCTTAGTTTTACAAGGTCTCAGGTGTAAATGGGGAGCAGGTGTGTTAAGTTTGGCGTTATCACTCTCACTCTCTCATGCCGATCACTGGAAGTTCAACATGGCACCTCATGGCAAAGAACTCTGAGGATTTGAAAAAAAGAATTGTTCCTCTACATAAAGATGGCCTAGGCTATAAGAAGATTGCCAAGACCCTGAAACGGAGATGAAGCATATTAGCCAAGACCATACAGCAGTTTAACAGGACAGGTTCCACTCAGAACAGACCTCGCCATGGTCGACCAGTGCACGTGCTCACCGTCATATCCAGAGGTTGTATTTGGGAAATAGACGTATGAGTGCTGCCAACATGTCCTGTGGTTTGATGAGATCAAGATACACTTATTGGGTTCAGATGGTGTCAAGCGTGTGTGGCGGCAACCAGGTGAGTATATAGACAAATGTGTCTTGCCTACAGTCAAGCATGGTGGTGGGAGTGTTATGGTCTGGGGCTGCATGAGTGCTGCCGGCACTGGGGAGCTACAGTTCATTGAGGTATCCATGAATGCCAACATGTACTGTGACATACTGAAGCAGAGCATGATCCCTTCACTTCGGAGACTGGGCCGCAAGGTAATATTCCAACACAACGACCCCAAACACACCTCCAAGACGACCACTGCCTTGCTTAAAAAAAAAAAAAAAAAAAAAAAGCTGAGAGTAAAGGTCATGGACTGGCCAAGCATGCCTCCAGACCTAAACCCTAATTGAGCATTTGTCGGGCATCCTCAAACGGAAGGTTGGGGAGCGCAAGGTATCTAACATCCACCAGCTCAGTGATGTCGTCATGGAGGAGTGGAAGAGGCAACCTGTGAAGCTCTGGTGAACTCCATGCCCAAGAGGGTTAAGGCAGTGCTGGAAAATAATGGTGGCCACACAAAGTATTGGGCCCAGTTTGGCTATTTTTACTTAGGGATGCACTCATTTTGTTGCCAATGGATTAGACATTAATGGCTGTGTGTTATTTTGAGGGGACAGCAAATTTACACTGTTATACAAGCTGTACACTCACTACTTTACATTGTAGAAAAGTGTCATTTCTTCAGTGTTGTCACATGAAAAGATAATATATTTATAAAAATGTGAGGTGTGGACTCACTTCTGTGAGATATTGTAGAACTTGTTGGATTAACAGTACTGTGGATTTTAAAATGGTTTTCAATTTTTTGGTACACATTTAAAACCATGTTAAATGTGCCTAAGCAGTGCCCTGAAAAAAAAACAACACAAAAAAAAACCACCTCGTTATGAATTCCTTTTAACAAAACTCCGGGTATGAGGGTGCCAGGACAAGCCTAGGGTGGCATTTTTCAGGGGGGGGGGGGGGGGGGGGGGGGGGCAGCACCACCTCCCAGAAGGGACACATGTGGCATGGAGACCAGGTGGGATCTCAGAGAGGCTGTGGGCTGCTTGGCGGTGTATGCAAAGCCCAACTCTCGCTCCCGGGGATGTCCAGAGCTGTAAAGGTGTTTTCTCTAAACGGGGGGTGCAACCAGTGTATTGGGGGTGGTGTTAGTCAATGTAAGGCTTTCACCGCAGTGGGGAGGGGTGGTGGTGTTGATTGGTGGCTCTTTCCATGGAAGAGGGGGTTTTTGGGCAGCCTGAAGAAAAAAAAAAAAAAAAAAAAAAAAAAAAAAAAAAAAAACTTAAATACACCACTGCCTACAACCGCATAGAAGTATCTCTTGCACTGTGTGAAATCTATGGCACAGTTCCCTAGGACTGCTAAATCACCACATTTGGAAGGAGACTTGGTGATTGCTCTGCTCACGGTACTCTTTGCTGAAGCCACGGGGATTGCTCTGCCCACAGTACTCTGTTGATGCCAAGATGGATGCCTCCACACACAGTACAGGTAAGCAAACAATGCATAGCAAATAAGTCATGGCGAAAGATCAGCTGCAGGGAGTCCACAGGCAATACGGGTGACTAGTCCTCTACCCTCTGCCTGCCTTTTTTGGCTACAGCCTCAGGAGCTGCCTATACAGGTCAAAGCAAAAAAAAAAAAAAAAAAAAAAAAATTGACAGTACCTCTACTGGCCTCTAAAGTAGGACATTGCCTTGCAAGGGCAAACCATGGGGTCACTGAGTTCAGGCATCTTGGAGGTATATGACTGCAATAAGCTTCACAGTAATAACTAGTTTACAGGTCCAGGTGGTATACCAGGCTTTTTGTTCGATGACAGCAGCAAGAGCACCCCCCCCCCCCCCCTCCATTGCAGTCACAAACCATTGTCTCCACTAGGGAAAAAGAAAAGTTTTATTTATTCCATAAAGGAACTTATGAGGTCACTTGCTAAATGGTGTTTATCCTTACCTTATCAAACTCATCAATGCACACCACACCTCCATCAGCTAGCACCATGGCTCCACCCTCCATAATGAAGTTACGAGACACAGGATCCCGCATCACAGAAGCTGTCAAGCCAGCAGCACTGCTACCCTTCCCAGAGGTGTAAACCTATTAACAAAATTACAGAAATTAGATAGCAAAGAGGGTACATTTGTGAATACACCATATACTACAGAACAACCCTCTGACAGGGATAAGATATTACTTACCCCTATAGGAGAACATCTTTCTACAAACTTCAAAAGCTGAGACTTCGCAGTTCCTGGGTCTCCCAGCATTAGCAAGTTAATATCTCCTCTACGAGTCAGTCCATCAGGAAGCCTAAAAAATTTAACATACTAATATTCAAGTACAAACATGCTTGGTAATAGTCAAACAGATACACAAGAAGCTTTTTAATGAAGGTAGAAGCAGTGTATATTCTAGCACAGAACTGTAACTGAGTTCACACTTCCCATGCAGAGTATAGCCAAAAGTGGAGAAGGCCTCTCCCTATGCTTTTGTATGGTGTCCCATCCTCCTAGGGGCAGATTTGTACTCAAAAGCTGCTATGTATCCCACAGATTGTTTTATTGAATATTAACTTTACAGTAAATGCATTTAAGGTCGGTTTATTCCAGTTGCCCACCTTTTGCGGGAGCCACCGAAGAGTAGACATGCAATGGCCTTCTTGATGTCACTGCTGCCATAAATAGAAGGAGCAATGCTTTTAGCAATGGTCTCATAGATGTCAGGTCTGGAGGCAAGTCGTCTGAACTCTTCCTCTTCCTGAGGTGTTACAGCTCCGACTCCACTTCGACCTGTCATGTAAAAACAAACATTACACTGCAACATTCTGCTCGCACACCAGGCTTCTAAGACTACAGAAACTACAGACGTGTACCCATTCATGAATCAGCTAGATTAGGCTGAATGCTTTTCAGCCTCAGTGCAATGCATACGACATACATATATGGATTACATATACCAGGAGATACAAAGTGTTTATTGTACTAATAGAAAAGCATGTTGCGGGATATGGACAATATCTATCAGGGCACTACTGAATGAACTGTTCTTTGGACTTGCAGCACTCCAAAAAGGGACTGGACCTGAGAGGCTTTATTTGCTTTCTTGCTATATTCAATTCTGATTGTAGAATCTTTCAGCAGTAAAAAGCAAAAAAGTCACAAGATCCTCTATAGCTTTGTACACTGATCAATAAGAAAATGTGGCAAAAAAAAAACCCCCAAAAAAAAACAAAGTTCTAGCTCAACTACAATAGGTCAACCTTGAGGAATTAGATGGGGAAAGCAGGGCACAGGAATTTTAGATCAAAAGAAAAGGAGCAGGTAGATGGAGATTTATACTCAGGTTTGCAGCTTAAATATATGGCCTACATTGTACCTATTACAAGTTATATCTAACAATATAAGCCACAAAACTACTTGCATCCCCAACCCTTGCTGGAAGCAATGCAGAGCATACCCACCAACCCAAGTCGACAATAAATGTTCTAGACTGCATCAAGCATGTGGCAGTAAATGACATTTCACCTGTGCCTTCTGTATCCACTTGAATGCCAACCACACGAATATATGAACTTCGAATACCCACTCCCACTCTGTCACGACCTTTGGTAGAGGTTTTGCCACTTTTACGAATTGAGTAAATGCCCATAATGGTCACTCTGTTGCCAGGGACAACTTTGTCACAAAGATATCTAAAAAATAAATGTAAACATATTTCAGAATTAAATTAGAAATTAAGGCACAGCATACAATGTCCAAAACCTCCTTAGACCGCGTAAGGACTTGTGCAGTAGGGGTTTTTTACCTGTCGCAATACAACTGCATATGTCGTGGCAATTCACCATGAGGTACGGCGTCTGGTGACTCTTGAAGTTTCAGTGTCTGGAAATCCACACATTTGCATTTATCTGGTATGATGAAATAAGGATCAAGGGGACACTTGGGGCGACCAGCTTGTTCTCTACACAAAAATTTCAGAGAGAAGAAAGTCAATTTAATTTAGCGCCTTCAGGCTTTGACAGGTATTTTCTTATCTTCATTATATGGATGCCTTAATTTATCAAATCACTGACACCAACAAGTATAGGAATAAATGTGAATATAACCCTCAAACAACTGGCCTTATCATTTTCCTAGAAATTTTATTCTTATATAAAAAGAGTTTGAGCCCCGGTTCACACTAGAACAGTGCAGGAAACCCAGGATGCGTGCAAGTTTCCACAGTGTTCAAAACGCACTGCCATCATGGTCTGCAGGAGGATGTCAGTGCAATTTTAAAACCCCAAACCACAGGTCGCAAACGCAGTGTGCTTGCCTGCACTGGATCACATGGTACAAAACCATTAAGTGTAAATGAATGGGCTGAAATCACACTGCACTGAAACACGTGCACTGCACGGTGTGAACCTATGCTTAAGCCTGCAAAAGTGACCAAAGGAGGAAACCATTTTTTTTTTTTAAATTACAGTTAGAACATGAATAGTGAAGACAAATATGGGACACATTATCCTTCACTGTGCAGTAGAGACCAATTACTACAATGGTACCACATCCAAGCTTTAACTGCAGATTAAGTACCATGCTACTCTTTTTGCGCTTGATCTTTCCACACCTCCCTCTTCTCAAACATTTACAGTTCACAGACTTCCTATTTTTTCAGTGGTGTTAAATCAACAAGGCCTATAGACAGCTGGATCATAGACCTCAAAACATGACACCACACTAAAATGTTAGAAGACTAACTTGTTTATGTAATTTCTTGCATGAACAACAGAATGCATTGATATAGTCACAACTTACTATCCACATTCTAAATGGAATCCATTTTTATAAATGCTCTTAATTGCCCAGTTAGCAACAAGGGCATAGAACACACTTCTGCCAGCCTAAGCTAAACACCCAGGCAGGCCAGTTACTGAATGGCAGGAAGAATCAATGAACTACAAGAGTGCTCACCAACGCCTTCGCAGTTCGAGAACTACAAGCCACCATGCATGGAGCCTAATAGGAGTGTAACATTCTGATCCTAACAGTCAACCTATCCTTTAAATTTAAATGCCACTTGGTAGACTGGTACATCCCACATGGTTAAAACCTTTTCTCAATGCTCAAATACTTCAGAGGCGGATGTACAATCCTCAAGTTAAGCAGGCTTATGAACTTACGTGTTACACTTGCGAGGCATGGCATATCCCTCCAAGCCAGGTCTCACAGGTATATTACTAATTGTATTTCGGCAACTCCGGCACTGGATAGAGATTTTCGTGGCCTTTGCTCTCACGGCTGTTGCAGCAATTATGATGCCAGGGATCTTCACAAGATGAGACATCTGTTCCGACTACAAAACACAGGAACAAAAATTATGACGCAAATCCACTTCTAAGGTCTAACCAATATTTATCCTCTTAATACTTTAGGCAGACAAATGCTGGAACATGATGCGGTCTATGAACAAGCATGAAGTAAAGCACTGATCAAGTATAAAATTCAGCAAACTATATATTCATTACAAAATGTTTTATTGAAGATATACAGTACAATATAATGAAAGAAAAGTCACCAAATGAGAAAGTAGTGTCGATTTCATGCAGATGCTTCAACAGAGGGATTTACTTTACGGCCTAGTAAAGCTCGGTGTAGAGACTTGGTCAGGTTATTACCAGTGAGCACGTAAATAATTATGTAGGTGCTGATCCCAAATCAACTCAAAACATCAATCCTCCTGAACTTGGGAATAGGTCCAGAAGGAAAACTGGCTATGATCTCATCCTTGTTGGCTTGAATGTCACACCTTGCTGCCCTCTTAAGACTGGGGAAGTCTAAAACTACTGTAACCATAATACAAGAGAGGGCGCACTGGCCTAGTGCATTATCCTTACGAGTATTTGTTAAAATAAGTATTCACAAAATAGCAGTTTCCACAAGCTCAAATAAACATTGTTCTATCAAATCCAGGATACATTGTGTCACCCCACAGGGCAGATAGGACCTCCAACTGGCTAACGTGTTTTGAGGACTAGCCTCTTCCTCAGAGCCCTCTGAGGAAGAGGCTAGTCCTCAAAACACGTTAGCCAGTTGGAGGTCCTATCTGCCCTGTGGGGTGACACAATGTATCCTGGATTTGATGAGCTTGTGGAAACTGCAGTTTTGTCAGTATAATACTTTAACAATACATTTTTTAAGGATAATGCACTCTGGTGCGCCCTCTGTCTTGTTTTATGGTTACACGGATCCCGAATCACCTGACTTTCGGGCACGTCCACCAAAACAGGCCATGCCCTCCTGACCACAAACCCTGAAACAGAGGAGGAAGCTTCCTGGACCCACTGGTTCACACTAGCTGGGACTATATATCACCTTACAAATACTTTGTAGTTCGCGTCAATTAAGGATGTCAACTTGGCTGGATACGGAGCCAGCTTGTGTCATTCTGCCAAGTTCAGGGTGTCTCCCATGTTCTACTCCCAACTCTCCATATAGAGGAACTTAATCTAAATAGGACAATATACCATAGAGCTTGGAGATGTGATCCAAGTGCTTGTTAATGCCCCCACAGAGATATTCCACAGGTGTAGTAGTGGAGAGGTCAGACCTTCTCTGCATGGAACTTATAAAAATGTGCAATCTGAGCATAAGGATATTGTTCCGTTTGAGGCAGATTGTATTTTCCTCGTAAGAGTTGACCTTACAAGACCCCTCGATGGTCATAATCTGCTATACGCAGGAGACCCTTGTTGGTCCACCACTGGAAATTGTGAGGTGTCAGGCCAGGGTTCTGGATTCTCCAGAAATGGGGCCAGTGGAGTATGGGCAGATCTGAATTTGTGCTTTGTAGCTTATCTGTCCCATAGCTGCTGACTTTTTTGTAGGTTTGACTGGGGCTCCACTTTAAAGCATCATCCATTCTTCTCTGACTTAGATCTGCCTAGACAGACACTGGGTTTTACAACTACAATGTGGCTGCAGTTCAACTACAAATCTCAAAAACGTTTTAAAACAATTACCTTAAGACTTCGAATATTGGCAGGATTAGCATCAGAACGCAGCATGACCTGAATATCCTGGACGGCTTCTTCACCGGCAGGCCGAGGACGGGTGACTTCATCCGCTACCTCCTGTGCAGCTTCCTCCAACTAGAAATAAACAAATGCTTTGCACTCAGAAAATGATGGTAATCTGCAACAGCCACATTTTCATCTGCTTGCCCTACTCAGTTACAGCACAAACCTTTAGAGCAAAGAAAAATTACAACACACCAATTGTGGCATTTACAGTGGATAGAAAGTCTACACTCCCATTAAAATGTCAGGTTTCTGTGATGGAAAAAAAAAAAAAAAAAAAAAATCATTTCAGAACTTTTTCCACCTTTAACGTGACCTGAAAACTGTACATCTCAATTGAAAAAAACTAAAATCATTGGGGGGGGGGGGAACAAAAAACTAAAATAATGTGGTTGCATAAGTGTGCACACCCTCTTAGAACTGCGGATGTAGCGTTGTTCAGAGTTAAGCAATCACTTTTTATATCCACTGTATGTGTGCCATTATTTTCTAAAGTCACCTGTGATCAACAGCAACCATTGACACTGAGCAACTGTAGAGTCATGCAGTCCAATACTCTCTATATTAATGTTAATGGTACATTTGAACCACTGAGCAGCACAGATCAAATTATCAGAGTGACTGTCATCAGGACTATTTTACAATTTTAAAACACGAGTTGTAGCTGTGACTTAAAAAGTCAACTTGACATGTTAAAGCAAACAACTTATTACTTTAGATGGACCCAGCATTAGATTCTTTTTGTCAAGTTAATGCACATTACGTGTAATAGTCATCTCCCTGTAAATGCTCTCATCTACTTCGCTCAGAAGCCATTTTTAGTCAAGCTTTATCCAGGCTTAGCATCTACTTCCAGGCTTAGAAATATGGTCAAAACGTCAGGGCAGTTCTGGGCTGTATTCACAAATGCCTGACACAGATCAGAGCTCTGCTGCAGCTTCGTTCACACAAGTGTGGTTTCTGATGCCACTTGTTGCAGATTCACATGACAACGGAAATCCGTTTTCATTGGTGCCCATTCAGATCAAAGTGACTCAGCACAACGCAAATTTTGGAAAAGGTTCCTGTAATACTTTGGTGCGATTCCAACATTATTTTGGCCCTATAAAATATACAAACCACATCCGCGTTGCACTACAAAGGGGTGTGGAAATTTTTGAAAAAGAAAAAACCCTACTTGTCTAGGGACTAAATCTGTGTCCCGCATGACAATTTACTTTTTTTTTTTGTAACCAAAACCATATTTAAAATTGGATGCGATTTTAGGAATGTCTGGTGCTTTTAAAAAACAAAAAGGGGCTTTATGGAGACTTGAACAGCGCAATGTTATTACATGTTTATCTCCTCCTCCCCTCCCTGCCCCCAGCACTGCATCCAGGGACTAGCAGGGAGGAGAGACCTTGCAATGTAAAGAGCACTGATTGGCTGCTCTTCAGGAAAGGGGAGTGTCGGGCTTATGCTTCATCCCTTTCACTGCCAGAGCAGTTTTTGTACAAGTCCCCTATGTGATGACGTTTGGTGACAAGTTCTCATTGAGACATCCAAGGTCTAAAACACCCCAGATGTCTCCCATGTGCTCCACTGAATGTAATGAGGCTGGCACTGTGTGGAAGCAATCGGCAGTGGCACTGATGCCTCAATGCTTCCACCTGACAAGTGAGCCCTGCTGCTTGCCTGCAGCAGGGCAAAAGGTGGGGAAAAAAATAAAATACCTGTGAGGCGCCCAGAACGGGCATCGAGTGATATGAATTCAACATCCATGACTACATAATCGTACTGAAAATTGGATCAAAATCAGATCACAGCAGTGTAAACCCAGCACGACACTTGCTAGAAAGTTACAATGTTGTTGTCTGATCACTGGGGAAAAGACAAAAGAAATGCTGCCTCCTGCCTGTAGCAGACGGACACATTTATTTGGACTATGGAGGACAAGAACAGATTTTTGATAAAAGCGTGACTTTTTTTTTTTTTTAAGTTATACCTCTGTTGTATATTGAAACATGCTAGAAATGTATTGATGAAGACATGCAACATACCAGTTGAAGATGCTCTGTGGGCTGCTTGTAAAGGTAATCAGCAAGGTCCTCATCAAAACTGGCCAAGTCTTCCATCTCCACCTCGATCCAGAACTCCCCCAAGTTATAGTGACGTTTGAGCTCATCTCTAAAAAAAAAAAAAAAAAAAAAAAAAAAACCAGAGTCACCCTTAGTAAGAACTTTAGGCTAACAAATATATAAAACGCCCAAGGGCAGCAGACATTCACAGGGCAGCAGGCACCGCTAGGGTCCCAAATTCTAGGAGTTAAAAAAAAAAAAAATCACATGACCCCCCCCCCCCTCCCCCCAATATACCTAGAATTATTCACTATTTCTGGTCACTACCAAAGTAAAAAAATGAAAAATTAAGGCCAGTTGCACAGACGTAATAATTTATTGATGTTTATACACAGAGACGTAATAGTTTAGTAATGTTTATACACAGGATCTTGTTGACAAAGATCCTGAGTAAAGTATTCTGTAAATATTTTGCCTAAATGCACGTATATATGTACACAAGCATACAATGCTTCATTGCCAGTATTGCAATATACACACAAGTTGCTGCACTCAAATGTAAATTTTTATTTTTGTTTGACAGTTCTCATTGCTGATCTTTGCACTGCTGTGTGTATTGTTCCATAGACAACAATGCACCAATATTCAGATGAATAAAAATTTGTTGTTTTTTTTAACTCAGGTGCAAGAGGTCTAAAGAGTGTAGGCAAGACACAGGATGGATAAAAACAAGAAATTTATTATAGCAGACCTTCACCCTCATTCTCCACATTGCTTACTCATACCATTTACCTCCATCATCCAAATTGCAAATATCAGTGGGTTGTATAAAACCTGCACTTTCCCACCCAGTACAAGATTTGCAGCACTTGCATTGCTGATAATATGGCCATGTGTAAACAAAATGATGGGAGCGCATGTGAGGGACTGGTGGTACATGTGATGCTCTAGCAGGGAATCATTTAGATAGCACAGCAAAGTTAAGTGCCACCATTCCCACACATGGGCCTGGGGTTCTAGCAGAAATCACTTTATTTACACATTGCCACAGTAATGGTGAGATAAGCACCAACAAGATTCCCCAATACAGCACCAATTGCACATGTGCAGAATTAGCTCCACCAGATCAGGATCAGTCCCTCTAGTGATAGCTTGGGCAGTGGCAGGTTCTCTTTGACAGATCAGGAGTCTATTGGCCCCAATTCCTGCTCTGCCTGTCAGAGATCGATTTGATTGGCCGCTTCTTTGACTGGTACTTGCCAAGTATAAAAAAAAACAAAAAACAAATATGAAGTGGCAAAAATCGACATTGCTTCTGGCTCCGTTTGACAGAGGAGAGGGAGTAACTGATGTTCTTCCTCCTGCTCTGGGCAGCCAACCCAAATGCTTACAGCCATCCTGGGCACAATGGAACAGGAGATCCCAAAAACAGCAGCAGCAGAAACCCTGTAAAAAAAGTGATCTACATGAAAACCTTCCGGCTGCAAAAAAATATTTACCTGGATTATGGTTGTACCATGAACCTGGAATAATTGCTTCCATCTGAGGACGTATGGGTACTTAAAGCAAAGTTCCAGCTGAAAAAAAAAAAAAAAAGCAGCTACAAAAACTAACTGCCGCCTTTTAAAATATAGCCACTTACCTGTCCCTCGGTCCAGCGGTGTCCTCACCACCGTTGGTTTCACCGGCCATCTTCTCTCTCTGGCATCTTTAGTGTGGGCACCCGGCTGGGACAGCTTGCGGCTTCACAGCCGGATGCCCACTGTGCATGCGTGAGAAGCGCTGCGCTTTGTGAATGCCCTGTAGTCTGCTGGGACCTGTTACATGTCCCAGAAGACTACGGGGAGGGAGGGCAAATTCCACTTCCGATCACCTAGGCGACAGCAGCGTAAGTGGGTACCTGTCATTTTGGGTATCCTCTCCCCAAAGGTGACAATGCTTAATGGGGAGTGGGGGGGGCAAAGCATTAAGGTGGGAACTTTAAGACATAAAAGTAGGTAAAAAGGAGTACAGGCAAAGCTCATTTGGTCGTACTTCCGAGAATCACAGGAGTGCAGTTCATTCTGCACTAATGTGACCCATTTTCAGCTGACTGTGGGCTAAAGATCCCAACCTGAGAGCTGGATACTGACAGTCACGGCTCTCTGATTAGAGTGGCAGGGAGAACTGAGCAATCAGGTGTTTGATGGCTCATTTCTCAGTCTTAGAGCCGTTGAGGGACAGAACTATGCAAGCAGAAAAAGAAAAAATACCCCATACTTCTCTTAAATGTGTGTCAACACAAACTGAAGATAAATCTGATATGAATACAACGCATAAGGCAGGTGGAAAAAACCTCAAAGCTGTCCATAAGCCCTACAATTAGATTGTACAATTTCCTTTATGGTGGCCATTGACACTTTGTCCAGCTGATACCTATCAAATGAACCTACAAATGATCAAAAATTTATTTTTGATCTATTCAGATCAGATTCTGAGTCATTCGGGCAGGAAAGTACTCAATTGTCCCGCATCAATTGTCAGCATGGAGGTACATTGCTCATGAATACGATTGTATTTCAAGCAGATGAGATTGGATTAGTTGATGAATATTGTACCTTCACTGTCACTTGAATCCACTTCCCCACATGTGGCATATTGACCAAAGAGGTTGGCGGCTATAGATCAATTCTTTCCCTAGCAGAAGATATTGGAAAATCAATATTTCATTGAGAAATGGATGGCCATTGTCAGATCAATAGGATGTAATACAAGAACCTACACAACTCAATTCAAATCCATCAGGCAGGTCCTTGCACTACACAGTAGATGGCAGATCCACGGTGGATTGTACAATCAGATTGTATAGTGTATGGTCAGCTAAAATATGGGACTTGTAGCCCACAAACTCTACAGGTCCCATGTCTTCATCATAGATCGCACGATGTGCTCCCCACTGACCTGTATTTATACGTGAAGCCGGTGCGGTCGGTGCCATAACGGTACTGCCGAAGAAACTCTTTGAACCTCTTCTTCAGCTGAGACTTCTTGGCCTGGCCATCCTCCCCCACAGGCTGTTCACCCCCGAAGCTGTCACTGTAGAAGATGCCGGCATCATCGAACCCGGACATGATGGACGCCAAAGACTACGAGAGACCAACACACAACAGCCACCGGATCACGAGACGAAAGCGCGCCAACACAACTTTTCGCGCCAAAGCAAAAGCGCGCCACGGTGGAAAGACCGCCCCTGCAGACTCCTATTGGTCAAACAGCAACCGCTGGCGTGGCTTGGGCGCGGCTCTTCCTGCAAAGGTGGGGCACTATGCGGTTGTGGAACCCCCTCCTGTCTACCAGTGTGGAGCCATTTTGTAGAGGACTAAATCTCCGAGAAAATGGCGGCCAGGTACTAGAGAATGTGCTGTCTCCTTATATCTCCTAGGAATACGAAGAGGTGCTTGAGGCCACCTGTCATGTGTTCACACTGTAGGCTCTGTTCACTTCTGTGTGTTGTAGTTGTGATGGGTGCAGGGCTGAGCTCTAGCTTGAGAAAGAATACACTGACCATGGAAGTGAGGTATTCCCGGCATTATTTATTATAGGTTCTTATATAGCGCCGTCAATTTATGCAGCACTTTATATATATATTGTACATTCACATCAGTCCCTAACCCTCAAGGGGTGTACAGTCTAGGGTTCCTAACTCACATTCATACATACACATACTAGGGCCAATTTATACAGGAGCCAATTCACCTACCAGCATGTCTTTGGGAGGAAATTGGAGTACCCAGAGGAAACCCATACAGGCACAGGTAGAACATGCAAACTCCAGGCAGGTGGTGCCATGGTTGGGATTTGAACTGACAATCCTTGTATTGCCAGGCAGAGGGGCTAACCATTTAACCACTGCGCTGCCCCCCCGTGTCCTGATTTATTCAGGCCACATTCACACTTAGCTTGGGTTCACGCTGATGTGGTGAGGAATTCGCACTGGTTTCTGTGCGAATTCTGCACCGCATTATAATCGCACCCCGTTCATACGAACTGCGGGTGTGTATTTTAAGTTAACAACACCCCGAAATCCGTTCACAAAACGTGATGTGATGTGCAGAATGGGATCGCATGGGTGTGAACACCCATGCGATCCGATTCTGGTGCGGATTAAAATAGGGTTAAAAAATTGCACTGCACAGAAATCGCATGTGATTTGTACAGGAATGCGGTGTGGGTCCTGTGCAAATCACATGCGATGTGCCACACCGCATCAGTGTGAACCCAGGCTCAGTCTGGGTTCACACCTATGCAAGTTGCGTTTGAGGTGTTTCTCCATTGCGTTTTGTGTTTTTGCACCTGCATTTCGATGCGTTTTGCATTTTTTTTTCATTTTTTTTTTTTTTGTGTTGCTAGGCAGATTTTAAATGCAAAATGCATAAAAAACATAATACATTATTAATATTATTATAATACAGGATATATATCGCGCCAACAGTTTGCAGTTTGCAGCGGTTTACAATATAACGGGAGGCAATACCGCAACAATACAGTTCAATACAATAGAGGGTTAGAGGGCCCTGCTCCTTGGAGCTTACAATCTAGGAGACAATACATGCTTTTCTGCAGCGTTCCCATTGAAGTCTTTAGAACAAAAAATGCAACGTTTTGCGTTAAAAAAAGTCCCTGACCCTTTCCAAAAAACGCACCAGGTGAAAACGCGGAGATGTTCCCTCCTAGATTGTAAGCTCCAAGGAGCAGGGCTCTCGAACCCCTTGTGTATTGTATTGTTACTGTACTGTCTCGTGTACTGTCCCCCACTATAATGTACAGCGCTGAGCAAACCGTTGGCGCTATATAAATACTGTATAATAATAAAGATGTATACTTGTCCCATAGGAATCATGTTAAATGGACTGTAGTGTGTTTCTGCAAAATGCTGCGGAAAAGGCTTTGGTGTGAACCTAAGGTTAGAATTTCTGGAACGCGTGACAGAGTGCACAGAAAATGTTCAGGAAACGCACATTGCATTTTCAGTGCTAATTGTTATTTGGACCCCAGATACAGGTAGCAGTAGAACATTTGTCTGCAACAAACGTGTAAAAAAATGTGCAACACTCCACATCAAAAAAAAGGTTTTGGAGCTTCCTTGCTGCGTTTGTCCCACTTCATTCATAACAATGTGTTTTTTTTTAGTGCTTTTTACAGAAACGCGCTACAGTCCATTTAACATTGTTTCCTATGGAACATGTTTACACCTATGCTTTTTTGAGCTGTTGCATTTTTGGAAAGGGTAGGGGACTTTTTTAAAAGGCAAAAAACAGTGTTTTTGCTACAATAAAGTTCAATGGAGTAGTTACTGAGGTTCATGGTAGTGAATTTTTGCAGTGTTTTGCAATTTGCATTTTTATTCTGCCCACCAACACAAAAATCCCACTTTAACCACTTGCCCACCTGAGGATTTACCCTCGTTCATGACCAGGCCATTTTTTGCGTTACGGCACTGTGTTATTTTAACTAACAATTGCGCAGTCATGCAACGCTGCAGCCAAATTAAATTTACATACTTTTTTTTCCACGAATTGAGCCTTCTTTCGGTGGTATTTGATCGCCTGTGCAGTTTTTAATTTTTGTGCTATAAGCAAAAAAAAAAACTGACAATTTTCAGAAAAAAAAAACAACATTTTGGACTTTGCTATTGAACATGTCCAGTAAAAAAAATTGTAAAAATCTAATTTCGTCATAAATTTAGGCCAAAATGTATTCTGCTACATGTCCTTGCTAGAAAAAAATCACAATACATGTAAATTAATTGGTTTACGTTAAAGTTATAGCGTCTACAAATGGCGGCATAGATAATGGCATTTTATTTTTTCTACTAGTAATAGCGGCGATCAGTGACTTTTAGCGGGACTGCAGCGGGCATTCTGACACTGGGGGGAACTAACTTGGTGTCACTGACACCCCAGTGACACCAATACAGTGATTAGTGCTAAAAATAAGCACTGACGCTGTACTAATGGCACTGGGCAGAAAGGGGTTAATGTGAGGGGCGATCAAAGGGTTAACTGTGTGCTGGGAGTGTTTTACTAAAGGGTGGGGGGGGGGTGCTTCACTGTAAGTACAGCCATAGCGATCAGTGTGCTTGAGCTGACGGAGGAAGATTGTAAACAAAACAATCTTCTTCCCATGAAGATGCTCAGTGATCACCGGCGGGTAATTACCGGCCTGGACCCGGTGATTGACATCCGCAGCTGCGAATGGCGGCGCAGGTAGGGCTCTCGCATGCCCCCTCTCCGGCAATACAAAATCATGTATATATACGTGATTCTGCGCACAGGTGCCACTCTATAGCATTATATCTGCTATAGGGCGGTCCTTAATCAGTTAAAAAAGAGCTGACCAAAACACGGCAAAAACATGTCAAAATCGTGTGTAGAAAAATGGAAAACTGCAAAAAGCACCGGAGAAAGCATCAAACGCAAAATGCATATATGTGAACCCAGCCTTATGGCTCGTAGAAACTTGTGAAAATGCGCAAAAAAAGCAAGCCAGAATGCACATTCCTGTTGTGCGAAGTGTGAATGGGGCACAAGGGTCCATTTATATGATGACAATTATTCAAGCTGAACTCTGGGCTAAGCAAACATATCCTTAACACAAGAGCCGTGTGTATTCTTTCTGGAATCTCCGTGTGATTTGTATATTTCTTCCATATCTGTGCAGTGTTCCAGTGTGAAACATTTTCTCTGTACAGGAGATTCCTGTAATGAAGACCCTTCACTGCTGCTTCCTCTACTTCTGTAGGGTGACTGGTCTTGTCTCCACCCCCTCCTGTAGTTTCTGCAGGCTGCCTGTAGTGGGAGGGGTCTGCTGGAATCCTCCCACAGCTCTGCTCTCTGAAACAGGCTAAGTGCAGCACAGTGATGATGTCACTGCAACTTTTTCAATGTAATATCTGAGTTGGCAAAGGCATCTGGGGGACTGTCCTTAGAGGGTGGTACTGGGAGGTGGGTAGGGGTGGAGACAAGGAACAGTGCTTGAAAGTGGGTAGGGATGGAGACCATGTGAGCCCCTTTTACCTCTTGTGGCCGCTGTCACCTGCATTTGTTAACATCCCATTCTAAAAATGTGCCTATATATTGTAAAAATTAAGTTTTTCCTTTTGTTAATTTTCTCCTTTATTTTTGGGTCTGTACTTATTATGTGTTGCTTAAAGAAAAAAAAAATTCTGTAGGTTGTACAATTCTCCCTTTAAGAACCCCTCCCCCCAACACTCACCTGAGCCCCGTCCTGATCCAGTGATTTCCACAATAGCCTCAGTTCTCCGAGGACTCTCATGCCTGATTGGCTGAGGCAGCAGCCGTGGTTATTGGCTCCCGCTGCTGTCAATCACAGCCAGTGAACCAATCAGGAGAGCGGCTAAGCTTGGGAGTGCGCTTTCTTGGGTGCCCCCATAGCAAGCTGCTTGCTATAGAGGCACCCGACAGGAGGAAGGGGCCAGGAGTGCCATCGGGGGATTCCAGAAGAGGAGAATCCAGGCTGCTCTGTGCAAAACTACTGCACACAGCAGGTAAGTATAGACATTTTTGTTATTTACAAAAAAAAAAAAACAAGATTTTAGTATCACTTTAGGTTGGGCATACTGATGTTTTTATATTTCATTCAGCCAAGCAGATAAACAAAAAAAAAAAAACCTCACAGTTTCCTGTATCCACAGAAGATAACCTCCCCCCTATACTATCGTATTCTGACAGCAGGACTGATCGAAAGCTGGTTTTCCAGCAGGACAGTTTGACAAAAGTCAGTCTAACAATCAGCTTCTGTTGAACAGAGAGGGCTACACCAGCGTTTCTCAACCTTTTTTCAGTCCAGGCACCCATTCAAATTCTGCACAATCTCAAGGCACCCCATTCTAAAATGTAAAAAATAAACTAATAGTTTTACATAACACAGCAATATCTACAAATGTAGGACATCCAACATTAGATGTGATTTGTTCTTACAAAGCAAATACACCTGTGCACACTGGTGCTGACTAGTATTCCAATGTTTGTCTTCTCCCTCAGTTTCTCTCCCTCACTCAACTAATGTGACCCCAGTGCTGATGGAAAGGGGCAGCAGAGAGGCAAACTAG